ATAATATAAGGGGCAAAATGTTTCCTTACTGATCTCGCGCAAAACGTGACGCCATTGTTACAAAACAAACAGAAATTTCTTTACCTTGGCAGCCGTTGCTAAGCGATTTTCAGCCAATCGTTTTCAAGTAATTTTGCCCGGGGCAATTACAAAAATTAAGAAAAAATGCCCTCTGTCTTGACCAATCACAATTCAGTAATTTTGCCCCTTATATGATAAGGCGTAATATCCTATTTAGTCCACAAACTTATTTACCTGAGGTCCATTAGTCCTCACTGTTATTGCCGCGAAGTTTGCTTCAATTCCATGTTTTCTTTTCGCCAAATCGCTCACTCGGTTTCTGGCGTAGATCTTCATGGTGTAGTTTACAAATGAAGATAGATTTCCTATGGTAACGCATGTGGTGTTCAAGCCATCATTTTTCGGTTTGAAAATGACGTCAGTCCCGCAAGATTCATTGTTATCCAAGCATATGCTGTTTTTTTCACCTACACACGGCTTACGGCATTCCACGTCATAAAAAACCTCGGTCTGGTCACCGGTTAATGCAGGGGGCTGCCATTTTAACTCCAACGCGCTTTGGTTAACGACGATAACTTGGACAATTCCCGGGGCTGATGGTATGACTGAACACACACTTATTAGGAGGTGATATTAGAGAATTGTAAACAACCTTTAGACAGGAATGAAAGTGTTTATTTTCTCGCTAATTTGAGGAAAACTACCCCGTTAGACTAAGCAGACACTCGATAAAATAAGCCATAACGCAAGTCTCCTCACCATATATTAGGACTTTTCCATGTTGGTCTATCTGAGAAAATTTTGGGGAATCTTTCTTAAGTATTTAGTGTTATTTGTGTGCTATATAGTATTAGTATTACAGGAATTGCGCTGTTATTTTACAAGAGTTGCATAAACAATGGAAGTGATAGCAGTGCAAGATGTGCATGTCAGGGATAAATGCGAAGACAGAGTCGGAGACAGCCAGAAACCCCTAAGTTTAAATGCAGTAAAGTTTGACCGGAAAGGTACCATTCAAACCACGAAAACTTTTCCATGCGTTACACTCTTCAACGTACGGAATATTAAAAATTCCAGGTTAGAACATCTCTGCGACCATACCTGTGCAGTTAAAGCCATTCTGGTCATTGTATTTGTTCTTTTCACAATCTGTAAAAGGATATAGAGCCCATCCATATTCCAGTATTTCACTTGAATAGTGATGATAACGATAACTTTCTTTCTCTTTTAATATATCAAGCCATACAGCATTGTAATTGGAGGTTAGACGTAATGCAGTGAATTAGATAAAAATAAACTAATCTTGAGAATTTGTCCTTTGAAATATTCATTGGTTTGATTTGCTAAGAAAGAAAACATTTTGAGCTCCACTTCATGGTCCAGCTAGACCTTTGTATCATGTATACGCTGAATATAATTGTGCATTGAGTTAACGTACGAAACTTTATTGTTGTTGCACTTGTAATTGTGAAGTTTTTGGCCATCATATTACCTTTGCATTCTCCTCCGCTTTTCCCACTGTCCTCTCTGCAAATACATCTTCCATTGAGAGAACTAATGTTCCAAACGCCATCACTTTGGCAGTCCATAGTAAGAATACCTTGCTTGTAGACGGCGTTTGAAACACAACTGCCTTGAATTGGCACCGACTTGTTGGCTGGAGCCCAGGAGCGTGGTAGTGACACCAAGCCACTAGCGACAGTAAATTCTGGGCAGACATAATAACTGACAGTGACAGAGTAGATGACGCTGCATGAACCTTGGTCATGAAGAGCCAGAACGATGTAATTTCCTTTAACGTCGACATCAAACGTTTTTGTAGTTGTGGGATGGTTACCAAAGATCGTTGCAGCTGCATTGTGTATTTCAGCAATCTTTTCATAAGAGGCGTTGTTTTGTAAAGGGTCAGGTACTGTCGGATTCCCGCTTTGATGCAGATAAAAGTCGAGGTAGTCTGTGCAAAAATTATCTCCACCAAGTTTTTTACAGTCTCTTGTTCTGAATGTAACGGTAATACCAACCTTTTTTACTATACTTGGGACTATGATGGGGTTACTTTTAAGCCAACTATTTGGTTGTTTTCCCCTGATAACACAAGTTGTGTACTGTGGCTTCTCATTACGGAAATCTGTTGACCTTTTCCACTGTTAAAAAAACAATGACGAAATAAAACATTTTAATCGATTTCAATCAATCGATTTTTTTTCTGCTGTTCAGTGCTCTTAAGCTTGTATGCTTATATTGAGACCGTCAGGAAAGGAATTTTTACCCCAGTTCTTTACAATATACTTTACGCATAATGAATCACTGAAGTCACTGAGCTGTTTTCATGATGATAAGCACGAGACTTGTGGAGGCTGATTTTGATCATTTATGAGAGTAATTCGTTGGTAAATTATGACTTGCAGTCGTGGGCGTCTGAAATGAATTTTGAGAAACCTGTCTTTCTTGCTTTATTCGTTTTGTGAATCATATATTAACTAATTACAGATACTCCAAGGCTTTTTGATATCATATATATGTAAAATTTTTAATGACAAATTAGTGTCACGCTCTTAATTGAAATGGACTAAAGTTGTGACTGCCCTGCCATTTCCAACTTGATATGCTGACATTAATTTTAGGGTGAGGTAAAGAAATCTATAGAGAGTTTTAAGTGTTGCAATTAATTCTGTTAGGAAAAATCCAACATGGCTACTGGTTGTGGGCCTGTACCGAGGTAAGCAGTCCAGGGTAAAAGGTACATTTTAAGTAAAAGTCTAAGTGCTCCTCCATTTTCGCCAACCAGTGTGCTCAATATCAATACCAACCTTTTTTAAACTGAAATCTGGTCTTTTGCCCAATGACAACAATGCTATTGTAGCATGAATTCGAAAAGATTAGGTTTCTTTTGCCATTCAAAATTAGTGATTGATAATTTCTTTTACATCAATGAACAGTCTATGAGCCAAGGCCTCCCAGGTAGATTTACACGGACAACGGATCAAGTAAATTTGGCACTTTCTTTTAATTTCTCTTTAAACTTTTTTGATAACATGAGCGTAAAGGATGTATGCTCGTGCTTATATCGGGGTGGAAGAACCTCCATAACTTGGTCTTCGTGCTTCTTTTGTCGTAGAAAAAAACGTTAGAAAACGACCGGTTACGTGAGTCTTAACGATGAAGATTACACATGACTTCCTTTTCCTTGGTTGTGATGATTTTCTTTTCACCTTCCAAGGGATGCCAAAAAGTTCGCTGTTAATCTCCCCATTTCTTACTTGATATTTGACTGGTTGCTTAAATAGGCCTCCTGATGCCCTTCCCACGTTTACTTCTAGTTGTGGCTTTTAAGTTGTTAGCAACATGTTAATCCAATACTACATCAAGATGCTTTGCGTAGGAAAGCTGCCTCCGAATATAGGGTAAAACGCAATAACTGGAATATTCCACAAATGTTAACTTACATTTAAACAACTGTTGCCCTATCGAAGGTAATGGCATCCACTGCATCGGTCACGTCAGCTTGTAGAGCTGCGAAACTCTGCAAACATTCAGCCTATTCCGATTTCCCCTTTCACATTGTGAAAGTGATGGCAGACCACTTTGGTTTTCGTGTGGGAAAAGCTCATGAAGATTTCCCTACCTTGTTTGATACGAAATGGTCAAGCTTGAAATAGAGAAAAGTCATTCTCCTGGAAATTGGATGATCGAAACAGTGCTTTGGTTCTTTGGATCAGACGTTCCGCTAGAAATGAGGGGTACTGTGTCTGCCTCTGTTTCCAGAACTAAGAGATATTCTGTTTTCATCATGAGGGGATTTTCTCCTTTTCAAATTGTTTTCGATAGAGCTTTTTCATCTCTGTATCCATAGACTTTGAACGTTGTTGGTATCTTCGCAATGCTTTTCACTTTGTCCAATTTTTTACCCAAAATAATGGGGGAGGGAGGGGGGAGCAGGCCTAAAGCTCGAAAACGTCAACTTTGAAAACCTGTACGCCAATTTACATTATCAACTTAGTTGATAAAACCAACTTACCTTGGTATCCCCACCGACACCGTGACAGCACCACAATTTCTTTAGAAACTTGCCGCCAATATTAATTTGACTCTAACAGATGTTTGCAATCTTAACAGCTTGCAAAAACATTAATTGACAAAGTAAGCATACCCCATAAGGTGTCACTTGCCATGATATTGTCCAATCATCCCAATTTCTCCCTGTCGGCCTCTGATAAAAGTCAACTGTATAGGAAACAGGTTTGTAAATTAGCATTACATCTGTGTTGCGAAAGCTCTCAATGATGCAGCGTTTGTACAGCAGCCAAAACGAAGTGGTCTCCCAAAAAGAGGTTGTAGTGTGTGGGTACACAGACAAACGAATCTTTAATGTTTTGATAAAACCTGTTGGTTCAATGAACCTCACCCCATTATAAATTTTGTGCGACAAATTTTGCTTCTTTTTAGTGTTCACTCCATCCAGGTAATAGTTCTTGCTCATTGAGTATCGATTGCGAGCCTGTTTACTGAAGGTGTAGTCTCCCTCCGAAGATCGCAAACTCTCTCCTATATCTGAGATAAATTTGATTTAGGAGAGGAGAAAATAATCCTCAGAGACAAGTTTCACTTTACTGATGCTATGTCTTTTTTCTAGAATTTGTATTTAAGTTACATGTACATACTTATTATGAAGATTGATTTTCTGAGTTTCGCGTCAGTTGCGCGTCGTCGTTGACCTGATAACTGATGTGAAATGATACTGAATGGAATAATTGTTAGATGGGAGACTTAACTCACATACAGAATTTTCCCTGGTGGTTCGAGATTATATTTCATACCTCTATTCGCCGATGAGAAGGTTAAAATCTGTAGGATAGTAACAAATGTAATTAAGAAGTACTCCATGTGCTTGCGGGTAGAGCACCTTGAGCTACCTAGGGTTAAAATACAGTGGGGCTTATAACTAGATGTACCTTAGTACTCTTCACTCAGTTAAATTTGTGAGCTCTATTTAAGAAATGAATGATACATTTTTCCAACTCAATCCGAATACTTATGATAGAATGAATAATTGAACTACCACCTATTTATAATATACTTTAATTTCTAAGATCCCGCCTTCGATCTTTGAAATGTTTTCAAATCGCACTTCCCTTGTTTAGGTTAATATAAAAGCTAATAATCGGGTGATAACTCAGCCGCTAAGTCGCTGATCAAGTGTATATATTCTTGAATTACCTTTAATATGCATTCTGATTGTCATTTTCGGAAGAATCAAACAAATTATTTGCATAACATCATAGAGCCTGGGCTGGGGGAGACAGAAAATGAGGCACTTATTGTGATGAGCACGATTACACAGTAGTCAAACCCTTCAACGAAAAATATGAAAACAAACATTTTGAAAATGGCAGCCACAATTTTTGAACGACTTGCAACGTACCGGAGAGGCACTTAATTTATTACATGTAGGACCTGAACAAAAGATTCCTAAGAAAAAGAGAATCCTTTTGAAATACATTTTCAGAATGGTTTGAAAAATTTATGATCGTTCACTTTCATAAATTAAAATTTGCTGTTCATTATAACCAGAAACAAAGTTAATCAGAAAGTTCATCAGCAAGTTCATTATATAAAGTTTGTTGTTTTCTTTATCGTTTGAAAAGAGCCATTTTGAAACAAGACTTTGAGACCACCTACTGCGTATTCGCATGTTTCACGTAAACATTGTTTTTTAGTTCTAAGACTTTAGAGAATGTGGTGACACTATGTAACTACCTCTCCGTTTGTAACCTTATCGCTTTTGAAGCGTCTATTAACAGAAAAAAAATTATCCCAATATGTCCAATGACTGGCCATCGATTCTGTTGGTTGTTTTCTCGTGAAAATAATGATAAAGACAATTCTTTGAAGGTTGGTAATTTAGTGTTCCTTGTGATTTGGTGACCGTCGGTTAAAACCGTTAATCTTTAAAAAGGTTTTTCTAGTTTTTTAACACTTGGTATTCATTCTCTAAGGCTTAAAAATGGGTTGCTTAGGGGTCTTTGCTTTATAGCTAAACTTTGATAGTTTCCTATGAAAAGAGCTTTATGTATACGAATTAGATTTTAGATTTTTTTTACATCTATTCAACGGAAACTTTATAGTCATTTAAACGACCTTAAGGGGCACAGATTTATATACTTTTTTTCCACTTTTAATGAATGACTGCCTCTAAAATGTAAGATGAACTTACAAAAACAGTAACAAAGAGAAAATTAACATCGAAACACTTCCCCTATGCTGAATCCTGTTCTTTTTCCCTTTTGTTTTGTTTTTGTTTTGTTGTTTTTTTCTGTTTGTTTTCTGCGCCGAGGAGTGTTCTGGGACAGGTGAAAGGAGTCTCGTTTCCTGAACTCTAGCTCTAAATTATTTTGTGGCCTTAATAACTATTGACTTATTTATGGGTTCATTTAAGGGTGCATTCGGGTAAATAGTTGGTTCACCTCGTGACATGGCGTCACGATGAGCATTACATTTTGAACCTGAAGAAGCACAAACAAATACATGTTTTCTTCAGTTTGGTTGTGTGTATTTGGTTATGTAGCATATGCAGTAAAATTTTGTTTCGAAATATTCCGTGTCACCGATAGATTCTATTCATTTGTGCCTGGGAAAGCTGGTATTTCAGGTAATATCCTGAAAAACAGGAATCTGATTGGGTTTTAAAGAGGCGGCTGGCCCCTTGACTAACCTGATAACATTACAAACATTTCAAGAATAATTGCAAGATGAAACAGATTAAAATGATATTATAGTGAATGTTTTACCAAACTCAATATAATACGAAAACCTTTTTCATTAAGGCGAGACCAGGTGTCTAGTACACAACATGTATGAAAGGTACAAAGGTGTTGATAAGTGCGAGAAATTATAATTTTTGACGTTTGAGCTTGCAGATGGCAATAACCATTTACCGAAACCTTAGGCTATTGTGCTAAATTTAGAAAAAATGTTTGATATTAGACGTTTTTCGCTCTCTTTAAAAGACAACCCAATACTAGGTCTTGAAACGGAGACCGACTGCATGACTCAACCCTTTGTTGCAACTTTAATGCAGCCTTACTGCATATACCACAGCAAAAAAAAAAAAAAAAAACAGGTCAAACTTGTCTTTAATTAAACCACAAGCAACAATCAATCTACTTTTATTTTTTAAACTATTTGGAGTACCAGATTTTGCCTAAGGTTTCTAAAAATTAGGAATTTCAATATCAAACTAAACTTGAGGCTCCATTTTTGAGAATAACACGAAATATACTTTCTGATACAAATATCACTAACAACTATTTCCAAAGGGAACCCTTATACCTCGTAAGCAGCAAGCAGTTTCTTGATTTCACTTCTACATGCATACTAAGGAGGTAAAGTCACCCAAGTGTAGGTAATTATCATACATGCAGAGACATTTCTATCCCAATGTAAATGGCACTATGATGAACTGGAGGAAGCAAACACAGAGAATCCGCTTTGCCTCACTTTATCGTTAATTGACTGTCTGTTGGTTACACATGGCTTGTCTACTTAATCTGTTACGTACCTGCACAGTAGTACCTTACTCGTTAAAAGATTGTTTTGAACAAAGCTGACGGCCAACAAACCTTAGCTACCTGAGCCTGGATGGAAATAGCTAACAATATTAGACTCCTATGCATTAGGCTTCCTTAATGAATGCTTGCGCCAGTGGTAATGTCGGTCTGCGCTAATATATAGGCTCTGTGGGTACTTAATGTAACAATCATCTGGTGGTATTGTGTACACTTATAAATCGATTTACACTGAGTGTTTTATGACTGTCATACTACGCTTCTAAGGATGTAAAGCTAGGTTGAAATACAAAAGTTACTACAGAGCTCTCATTGATTAATATCAAGCTTAATTTATTTAGTGTAAGACCTGAACCAAAATCTCTCCCGATAGAATCCTAAGAAAAAAGCAATCCATTGAAAAAAATGATAACCTAGGTCAGTATACACAAAAGCTTCACATATGGCCAACAATAATTCTCAAAGCGATATTTGTGTGGGGTTATACAGTCCTTCCATTCTCGTAACAGATCAAGAATTTACACTCGACTCGTTGACGTTTTATCTTTTACTAAAGCTAGTTGGAATGTAGGACACTACGCAGAAAATGAAACCAACTTTTCTTCAACTACTGTATTAAGTTATCCCCGCCATAGAAAAGCANTCACTATCGTAGACTTCCAAGTTCACAGATGTCTAGAAAACAGATAAGAAAAATGAGACATGGTTCGAATAAAAAGTTAGAGAACTCTGCCGAGCAAATTTCCAAAATCATTCCTAGTCTTAAAGTTTCTTCCTCAGTCAATAGACTAAAATTGGTTCCTTTCGTCAAAGTTCTGCCAATCACAACCGTTTCATTAAAGAAAAGAATAATCTTTTTCCGGCTTTAATCGTTATTGTCATTTACCATTTCCCTGTAACTCCCAAAATGGCGTGAGATACTAATGAACATGGAAGTATAAGGATACAAAGTGTGGAAGTGTTGGGGGAACGATATCTGGATTTGAGAAACAGTGCTGAAGAAAAAGAAAAGGGCCTGAAAAATCGAGATATAACTCCACAATTTAAAAAAACTGAACTTATGAAGCTAGCTCGCTGCGCTGAAATGAGATTATTACAGAACTATGTGAGTGAGAAGTATAGCGGTGTTTTTTTTTTTTTACTGTTCTCGTTTCTTCTCCCAAAATGCAATAATCATGCCATTTCCGCCCTCCCCTCCCATCAATTTTTTATATCCTAAAATACCCTACATTTCTATGGTTGCAAACTTTATGTTCAAGTAGAACATTGCTGGAACGAGACTTCCTAATAGGGATTTTCTCAAACAAAGATGAAAATTGCAACAATACTAAGCAAAATGACAAGAAAATAGGATATGTTCAAGGAAGACAGACAGACGAATCCTATAACCATCCAATAATCGATCCTTTGATCGCTGAGAAGAGCCATAAAAATGTTGGTCTGTTTTTTGGTTGCTCTTTCCAACAATTGGTCAAAATGGAGTACCTGAAATAATAATCGCAATTGTATTTTTCTTACGGTACTTTTAATTCACGGGATTTTTTCTTACCGTCGTTTGAAATTGGATTCTGAAATACCTAATTCTTATCTGTGCCGTTTGTCGAAATACTGATTTTTAAAAGGTGTGATGAAAGAGCTCTTAAACTACTCAAAGTTCTTGTGAGATGTGAGATGGCGTAGGCATGCGGTATTCTGTCTGCATTAAACCAGCAACTTCTCTAGAATTTACTCCGGGATCTGGTGATTCACCTGACAATAATACATGACGTTGTTTGTATAAAAAAATACTTCCGGGCTTCCGTTTAAAATACATACACTGTACCATCACTGGCCCAACTGTAAAGCCATGGGGTCTCTCTTTGATTGAAAAACTTACGCTCTCTCTATTCCAACAGGAAAGCAAATGTTCCAAATGGTTTTTTTTTTAAGGAAAATTCTCAGGAAGTTTTGTTTAACGATTGATAGGCTCCTTTGTCTCCACATGATCCTTTAGATTTTCGTGAAACAACAAAACTGCTCTGCACATGAAATATAGCACAGTTTCTATCGAAACCCTCCTCAGACGATCAAGCCAATGGAATCCTCATGATCTCACAATTCCCATCATATTAGCTCCTTTAAAAAGAGATTTCTGTTTCACGACAGTGCACCTTTAAACGTTTTCCGGCAATCCCGACAATTATAGATGGAACTCATTTGAGCGATAATGTCTTGATCGTCTTAGAAGGTCCCAAGGGCTTTGATACGTTTCGGCTGAATATATCAAAACCCTGATAAAGAGATTCCATTGTTTTGTGCATGATTAGTGATCAAATGTCTTGATATAAAAGGAAGTACAAAATCAGTGAGGATCAAGACTTAAGCGAGAGGCTGCAAAAAGGGCGGCAAAAATCTTATTTTTATGTAGCCTTAGAGTTCTTCTCCACCGCTATCCACATATCCACATACCAATGGAAAACACCTCCCACATCACTATCCCGTAAGACCATATGTTTAGGACAGAAAGGCAAAAGCAATTTTAATCATTTACGTTTTTACTATTTTTGTAGTCAGAGTAGTTTCCACTGAGTATCGTAAAAATAAAAAAAACAAAACAAAACAATCAAAGCAGCCAATCAGAGCAGAGGGAGATTTTAATTACATGAAGCTATCAAAACGTTAAGTGTAAAAAAAAAAAACATACAACTTCATGAAACGTAGGAAAACGCGAATTACCAAGTGGTAATTAATTGTGGTTTTTAAGCGCTGTTTGGAAGGACNCTTCCCTGGCTGGTCCCCCTCTTCATCAGCTTATCGTAACGAACGAACTTTCCTTCTCCACCATTGAATTATGCAGATCCTGTGCGCTAGTGTCCACCTTTACAACTGCTGCACGGCAAATTCTAACTCCGAAGTAAGAATCTATTGCTTTCTTCATATCTTCTGCCTTCTCAACATCATTTCCTGCATTGACGCACTGGCGTATATGACTTTTCAAAGGAGAAATATGGTGATTGCATATATCTTTGCCACTATTTGATTCACTGAAGTCGTATCGGGTTGTAGTTACACCTGTACGTTGACCGATACGAATGAATACTTAGCAACAAAAGAGCACAGTTATAACATCCAGCGTTATCACTACATGACGTGCAAACGCCTCGAAAATCTCAGGTGACTTCTGCTTTATTTCCGGAAGCGTTTTCTCATAAATAGATGCAACAGCATGCCAGTTCTTCTTTCTTTGATTTTGACTACAATTTAAATACCTTACTAATCTTTCCAAGTCGACGAAAACGATTTCTTAGGAAGTAAGTTGACACAATCGACGTTTTCTCAGTGGTTTTGAAAGAGGAAGACTATAGGAACATGGTATCAGTAATCGTTCACCTAAAGTGAAGGTCTCTTGAGGACAATACCAGTTCTAATTCATCCAGAACATTCTAGATATTGTCGCAGCTTTGAAATGATTTCGTGTGCTCATGCTCGCAGTGATGATCTTCAGGGTCAGACGTGAACGCAATTATCCGGCAATGATCAGCACGCTGGCTTTCTTCAGTAACGTGGATCTGGAAGTTTGTTTTAAGGTAGTTTTTACCAGCTTTGCCAGCTTTCAAGCGATCTTTAACATCCTGAACCCCGGCTGATCATTTATCTTTAAAAAGGCATACTAATGTTACTTCTCATTTTCTTTTATTTACAAATATTTAAGATGAAGCCTCTCATACATGCTCAATTGCTTTAAGAGGCCAGGCGTTTGTTAAAATTGCACAAATATATCCTTTAAAAAAATGGTCTCGACAAACCTTAAAGAAGAAATTGAAATTCGAAAAATTAAATCGGCCTAGGGGTTGGGCAGTTTGAGTGTTAAAGGTACACTGAAAAATAACATCATATAGAAACAAAATGGGAAGATACGGGCCTCTCGGGGACAAAACTTAAATTAATCTGAGCTTTCCTAACTTTCCTGGCCTATTTACTACGTCTTCGAGTGTATCGAAGGCTTGCGATCTCTCTGTAGCGATGTTGTTAAGTCCTACCAAAGACTGCTTTTGTGATGTTGCACAAATTTATACAATAACGACATTTTGTTATATTTTTCTCTTCGTGTTCATATTTCTCTGTTTTTC